TGCATCTGAATCCCAAGCAGGGTCCAGGAATCTGCATTTTAAAATCCCCTTCCCCAGGGGCGCCTGGGTGGCTCAGTCGGTTAAGCGTCTGACTTCCGCTCAGGTCGCGATCTCACGGTTTGTGGGTTCAAGCCCCACGTGGGGCTCTCTGCCATCAGCACAGAGCCCACTTCCGTTCCCCCGTCTCCCTCTTTTTCCTCTCTCCTCCTTGCGCTCTCTCACTTTGTCTTTCTCTCAAACGCAAATAAACATTTAAAAAAGTAAATAAAGGCACCCTGCCCAGATGGTTGTTCTGGGTGCTAGGGTTTGTGAAGGACGCTGAGATCTAACGGGCAAGGTGTGGTGTGGTCTAAAGGAGCTCCCGTCCAGGCCACCTCTCATATATAGGAGAGCAGGTGCAGGAAAGTGCCCCTTAAGCCTTTCTGTAATTTGTGGAAGAGTCAGGTGGTTAATAAGCATTTCGCCGAGGCTTGCAAAAACCAAACAAGGGAAAATGCAAATGTGAAAGTAATTATATTTCAAGCCAGCGTGGGTGGTTTTAAAATCTTGAAAAGGAGGGACGGCCTGCTCGAGACAATTTTGGGAGAAGCTGTGTCGGCAGATCAGGGGCCCGGAGCAGGGTTTCCCGAAAGTTAAAGAGGCCGGTCGGACAGTGGGTATGGTCTGCGGGCACAGGCTTTGCATCCTCCCCGGTCTGTTCTGTCCCTAAAGCTGATGCTCGATGAGACAGGGCCTTGGTGGCCCGCGATAGAACCGCCTGTTTTAGGCAAAGTCTTGGGCGAAATGTGTAGCTGGGGGGAAGGCTTTTGGCGGGCGGCTGGCGGATCGCCTCTCCAGGGGCTCTGCTTACGGGACCCACACCTAACTTGGGCTTTTGAGCTGCCGTGAGCATGGACGGGACTGCTGTCGGGCCGCCTTCCTGTTTCAGAGGCCCCAGCCCGTCGTCGTCTGCCCGTGGGGAGGGGGCAGGCCTCCTTCCCCTTCTGTGGGGGGCAGCAGGGGCCACCTCATCGTGGGGACCGTGCAGGAGGGATATGGGGGCCCAAATAGGAATGGGACAGGCGCTAAACCGACCAAACTAAATCAAACCCAAACCCAGAAACAAACACGGGACAAAGGAAGAAAAGCGCCCACCCGAAATGCTTTCTCCTAAGGCCCCCAGCGTTCGATTGTTTACGGTCAGATTCTCCTCTGGCCTTTTTCTGTGCCTCGGTTTACCCATCTGGAAAACGGGGACAGACCCAGTCCCCGTCACTTTGGGTTGTTGGTGAAGATCGCACACCTGCCAAGTGTCGGGCCTGCGGGCAGTGCGGCAAGCGTTTGCCAACCCGTGAGTGTCCCTCTCCACACACACACACACACACACACACACACACACACACACACACACCCCGGATCCCCTTTCTGTCGCTTTCCTCCAGGTCCTGCTTCCCGTCCCGTCCTGGTCTTGCCATCCACAGCATTGTCCGTCCCTCGTTCCTTAGGAATTTGGCTCCACAGCTGGCGGGGGGCCGTGGCAGTCTGGCTTCGTAGAGGGGCTCCTGCAGACGAGAGGAGGCTGGCGGCCAGCACACGGGGTTTCTGGCCCCCGGTCTTGCCGGCTCCCACATCGCCAAGCAGCTTTCTTCCCTCTGACGCCCCGTCTTTCCATCGCACGCGTGAGCCTGTCACGATTTGCTGCGGCCTCTCTTCCTGAGGGTTCTGAGCAAGGTTGACTTCCTTCCTTAAACACCTCGTGCCTTTCTTCCCTTCCTGCCTTTGAACTGAGGTGTGGGGCTCGTTCTTCCTGAAGCCCGTGTGGTAGGAAGGACAGTGGGACTTCGTGGAAGGGACCGGCCATCCACGGATCCGACGTCACGGTCGCGGGGTATAGCGAATCGCGGAAGTCTTCGCAGGCTCCAAAGTGGCTCTGAGAAGTTTATACGCCTCACGTTTGCTTTGTGAGCGTGGAACGTCTTTCCCCGCTTAGCAGTGAGATGATTCATCGCGGTCTGGTTTTATTTTCTGTGAAGGTCTCTTGTCCTTCATTACTCCGGCCTCTGTGGCAGTACTCTTCAGGCACGTGACTCCTTTCTTCTCAGAGCGTTTTGTGTTGCGTTGTTATTGTGGTGAAAGTGAGGTTGCGATTGTGAATTAGTCGATTCATTCGCAAGGGCCAAAATGCGTAAAAGTTTCTCTCCCCCTCCTGCCCCATTCCTCAGTGTCTAAGCTCCTTTCCCAGCAAAACAGCCACTGTTAGCGTTTTGTACTTCCTTCCAGGTCTGTTGTATGCACGTATAAATATATGTTATTTCCCCCTTTTAAACAGATGATAACCTGCTATACACACACGTTGTGTTCTGCCCTCTGCTTTTCTTTTATTCAACAAAACATGGACACGTCTCTGCATGTAAGTGTATGAAGTGGTTTCTCGATCTTTTCTTACAAATGGCAGAATATCCCATCATACGATATACCATAATTTATTTAGGCAGATAGAGATCGAGGCTTCCCGATGGTTTTTCAGATGAAAGTTCTGGGGAAGAATGAATAAGCGGACTCCATATCGACTGATACAGCTGCAGTGAGGTCCGGGGTTGAACCTGACCTTGTGTCGTTCACAAGAGGGTTTCCTAGGAAATGGTCAGACTACTGAAGTGAGCCACTAAGCTTTTGCATTGGCAGGTTTGGAGACTCCAGAGTAAGGAGAATCGCCTAATGTTTTTAATGGATTGCTTTTTATAAAAGGTCGTGGGTCCCTGCTCTTGAAAAATAGTACGTTGTTTTTTACAAAGATTATTCCGAGTCCAGCCAGATATATCTAGATATTGCATAAGATTGATAAAGAGAAATAAGGAATTGGTGTCCGTCATTCAGAGGAGGGTTGGAAAAGTTTCAGGGTCAGGAAAACGTCTCTGGGTGATAAATAATCCACTTTTCCACCAGTTCATATTTAATAGATGCCTTAGTGGGTTAGATTTCAAAGTACGAGGAAGACAGGGCTGTAACTTCCTGGAAGGCATAGTAGCTGACACATTGTAGCTTATAAATATTTGTTTTGAATGGAGAGCATGATCAAAGAATTCTAAGGTATGGTAAAGACAGCCATATCAATATATTAATGTAAACACTATTACAGAAGTGTATATATTAAAGCATTAATACCAAGAGACTTTTGAACCAGCAGAATATTGGAAGATGAAGGTCACAGTTCAGGAAGGAATAGGCTATAAAATTCACCTTCTGCTTCTTTTGGAAGCACTCCTTTGACCTCGAAAATCAGGTTTGCATCTAAACGTTAAGTCCAGAAATACAAATGTCTATCGTAGATGAATTCATCCCCTTAGCACAGTTGTTGAGTAGCTCAGAAACCCATGCTATTTTAGGGAATCTGAGCGTGAGAACGTGCCCTGTAGTTAATGAGGGAACAGCTCAGTGACCCTCTTCGTTCGACCCTCCTGAGACTCGTGTGCCCTTCGGGACAGGGACGATAACTTCCACTTTGGAAGCTCCCTGGCAAGTTTCTTTACTTCTCTGTCTTGCATGTGGTCGTGTTTATTTGAGGGTCTCTTTGGCAAGTAGGGTCAGTAGTGGTTGAGTCATCCTATGAGACGGAAATGATTTCCATTCACTCGACTGTGTCGAGAAATAATCTCTGTCAACCTGTTTGCCTTCCTTTAACTCATATATGCTTCACGTTATGGGAGAATTGGGCAAAAGGGCATTTGGGATCGGTAATCGTAGTACTGCTTTTTTTGAGAAGGGATCGAACGTCGAACGTGACTAATGGCGATGATCGTGTGTGTGTGTGTGTGTGTGTGTGTGTAAGAATGTGCTGTCAGAGTGTTCACTGGGTTAGCGCTGAATCAGGACCCCACGTGTATCAAATAACATGCTTCTTTACTGCAGTATCTACTTTATGATGAGAAGTAAGGGGTAGGAGCCAGTGCAGCGAATGTCAGAGTTACAACGGGTGGGACCGTCCTACGTCTGCTGGAATCACGCTTCATGAAGCTAAGTTTTGGGGGGATCCGACTTAAAATTCATCAGATGTGGTGTGGCGACGCGGATGTGTGAGGGGGTTCTACTGTGTGGTTTTCGCCTTGATTCTCAGTGAAGACACCAGAGCAAAGCAAGGGTAGGTGCGCAGAGCCGGTGAGCCCGTGTCTATTAAGAGTTCTTCGCTTTTGGTTCTTAGTTCACAAGTGTCTTCCTTCAGTGTTTTCTTTTTCTTTCCCAAAGAATTACTGAGTCTGTGTAGAAGTTTCTTCTTCTCACTAGCTTGCTGGGTTCCATACCGACTCCTATAGCCAGAGCTCCGTGAAACCTTGGCTCATGTTACATGCAGATGTGTTCCGTCTTTCCGAGTCTCATAGCTGTGGTGCTGATTTGTCACGAGGCATTCGTAGGACCGTGAAACGGGGTGACAGGCCGACCCCACTGGAAAACACACTCCGGCGTAAACGGTTTTGTGCAACGTGGCGGCAGTCCGCGGTCCCCCAAGGAGCTCGAAACAAGCAACCCCAGTCAAACTGATCAGTGAATGAGTTCCCTAGAGAGATTGTATCGTCTGTCTTCACTGCCCAAAACCCGGCTTGCTGTGCCTCACTACTTCCTTTTAACCGTGATGCGAACTTCCCTTGGCTGAAGGTTGACCTTGGCTAAGCAGGAAGTGTGTCTGCTGGCTTAAACGTGTGCTGTGGCCCCGACCACGAGCTCAGGTGCATTCCCTTAGGCTTAAAGGTGCTTTCGGGCTCCAGTGCCCGTTGTTCCCAGATTCCTTTCTCCGCCCTTCCCTCCGCCGTTTACAGCAGGAAGTGTCTTAGACTTTTGGAGTCTCTACTTTACTTGAACCCCTTGTACTCTGTTCCGGGTATCGGTATCTGTCGTTAAGACTGTTCCAAGTTTTCTGTTCCATGTTCCGGGAAATGTTTTCCTCATCTCAGGGATGCTTGTATTTTCCTTTCTTCTGGCTCTTTTTGGTCAAATCTGTACCTGTTGTCTTGACTTGTCCAATGCAGGCCTACAGACTCCTGCTCCGGAGTTTATTGTTGATGTAGAATCCATGGACATCTTCCCGGTGGGCTGGTGTGAGGCGAATTCGTACCCTTTGACCACACCGCACAAAACAGTCTGTAAGTATCGTTCAGTGCGGACGGCATCTGCAGCTTGGGGGAGTAAATAGACCATTTTTTTGTGTGTCTTTTGTTTATTTTATTTTCTTTAAAAGTTTTTTTAATGTTTATTTCTTTATTTTTTAATTTTATTTATTTATTTTATTTATTTATTTATTTATTTATTTATTTATTTATTTTTGAAATTTACATCCCAATTAGTTAGCATCTAGTGCAACAATGATTTCAGGAGTAGATTCCTTAGTGCCCCTGACCCACGTCACCCATCCCCCCTCCAGCAACCCTCAGTTTGTTCTCCATATTTATGAGACTCTTCAGTTTTTATTTTTGAGACAGAGTGCGAGTGGGGACGGGGCAGAGAGAGAGGGAGACACAGAATCCGAAGCACGCTCCAGGCTCTGAGCTGTCAGCACAGAGCCCGATGTGGGGCTCGAACTCACAAACCGTGAGATCAGGACCTGAGCTGAAGTCAGTCGCTCAACCGACTGAGCTACCCAGGTCTCCCTGTTTTTTGTTTTGTTTTGTTTTGTTTTGTTTTGTTTTTTAGGGAGAGAGTACACGAGAGGGGAGAGGGGCAGAGGAAGAGAGAGAGAGAGAGAGAGAATCTTAAGCTCTAGTGCTAGGCTCTATCCCATGACCCTGGGATCATGACCTGGGCTGAGATCAAGAGTTGGACACTGAACCGACTGAGCCACCCAGGCACCCCCTTTTTAAAATGTTATATTTATTTATCTATTTATTTATCTATTTATTTATTTATTTTTATGAATAGACAGTTTTGTAAATAGTGTAGCTAAGTTGTAAAACACAGAGCTGCTGTTAGATGTTCTGTGGAGTGCCGATATTTTTGCCTCATGTATGCTTTCAATGTCTTTGTGAGATGAATATTTGTAAGCATCTCACAGGTTGACAAACGAAGTCAGAATGCTAAGGCAGTTGAAGGTCACAGAGTGGCAGAGATAAAATTCAAAGTAAATAGAATAATATATGTACGTTGTATAAAATAATATATAACATATATAGAATAAATAAAATATGAAAGAAATCTTGACTCCCAGTTTGGTATACAATTCGTTATTTTGATTAGAGAACATTTAAGCTAAATACTGTATTTTTGTATCAGCATGTCTGAGAGAGAACTAGTTTTTCTCATGAGATTTACCCTGAAAAGATCCTAATTGACCATAATAATTTACTGACATAACATATAAACAGCTACTCTTAGCACTAACCAACCAGTGAGATTTCAACTGTAGTTTGAAGAGTATAATGTCCTTCTGATTACAAAAATGCCGAATTAAAACAATATTAATAGTTAACCCAGAACTAACTCTGTGTTCTTAAATATAACAGTTCTGTCTCTTGAATATATATAGCAGTGTGTGTTTTAACATCTGCTGTTGTGGATCATTATCCTGAAATGGGACCTTTAAAAATCTTCAAAACTAATAAATCATGGCATTTTTAGTCCACCCTAATGTTTATCAAGAGTATTATTTAAAATTATGAGCCCTTAAAGATAAGGGGTTTTAATTTTTGTGAAATAGACATTGCTAGTATTTCCTTTATTAATTTATATGCTAGCTTTACTTTCTAACGTCCTACGACATGGTTCCCATATGTAGATGCTCAGAGTATTGCTAGAAAGGAAGCTTCCATCCTATATCAGTTCTGTTCCCTGATGTCAGATTTTGAAGGGCACTTGAGTCCTAGTCGATATTCATTAAGAGTGGGACAGTGGGGGCGCCTGGGTGGCTCAGTCCATTGAGCATCTGACTTCGCAGTTTGTGAGTTCGAACCCCACGTGGGGCTCTGTGCTGACAGCTCAGAGCCTGGACCTGCTTCAGATTCTGTGTCTCCTCTCTCTGCCCCTACCCCACTTGTGCCCCCCCCCTCACTCACTCAAAAAAAGTGGGATGATACATTACCTGTGTGCCACAAAGTAAGTAGCCCAGATTACACACAGGTGGATTTTAAGGGATTATTCTCCCCCATACACAGTATTGCTCGATGAATCATCCAACGAGAGTAGTATCTTGGCCCTCACTTTAAGCTATTCCTAAAATTTTGAGCATAGAATAACTTTGTCATTATCAAAGGCATTCTCATTTTTTCTTCTCACTTAAAGTGCCACAGACTCTTGACTCCACTGGCCAGAGAGCCAGGCATGACCGGATTCAGTCACGCATTTGTTCTGAAGAGGCAAACTATAAATCTAAATAATTTAAACTCCGGTAGCTTTAGAAGTTCTGTTCACGGGTGCCTGAGTGGCTCAGGTGGTGAAGCGTCTGACTCTTGATTTTGGCTCAGATCGTGATCTCGAGGTTCATGGGATCAAGCCCCACGTTGGGCTCTGCGTTGACAGCTCAGAGCCTGCTTGGGGTTCTGGCTCTCTCTCTCTCTCTCTCTCACTCTCAAAAAATAAACTTCAAACTTTTTTCTTGAAATTACACATATGCTGGAAGATGTGGGATTGTCTGTGCCAGCATTAAGTGGTGCCATGGTCTTAGGTCTATCTTTGGTAAGGTGCTCCGAATACGTTATATAAACTGTAAATCTTCTTGTCTGAAAAATAATTATTGGCTGGGTTATGTCGATATTCGTCAGACATATTTACGGGGTACTAATCCTCCTTCCAGTAATAATACTTTAGTGCAAAAACATACCTCTAATCCTAATTTGGGAGTATGCCGTATGGTAATATTATTGGACTTCCCACGCTTTCTGTGGGGAAAAAACAAACAATCCTTCTGGATAATCTTGCTCGCAACAATTTGTCCTACCAGGTGGATTAGGTGAGTATGATATGTGTGCTCTTTCTTTCTTATTAAAAGCACATTTTAGAATAACGTAGCTAGTGTAGTGGTAAGATTAAATGCACTAAATTCTGTTTAGACTTCATTTCTGATGAGTCACAGTCTAATGCTAGAAGAAACTAAGGTAAAATTGTGGCATGAATAGAATAACTTTTCAGTGTTTAAACCGTTACTTTAAAACTGACACAGTTTTTACTTGAAGGCATTTTTTAAAAAAAGCTTTTGCCCAACTGGGGAGCAAAGCTGATTGTCCTTTTGCCCTGTCTTGCCTGTTTTCCAGCACAAAAAAAGAGAAAGATCGCAGTCGTGCAACCGGAAAAACAGTAAGTTTTTGTTTCTGTTTCCCCCCGAACTGTGCGATCAACTCTACAGCGTTGTCTTTGTGGAGGGCAGGAGGCGTCGCTGTTTTCCTTAGGGACTTAGCTAGCACTTGGCACCCTAAAGGTGACAGCAATGTACGATGCCCCCACGGTCACGCACAGCTGCCCCTGCCCCGCACGCAGCACGCGGGCGTCCCTGGTCGCGGCCGGCCTGCCAGGCGGCCCTCGGCCTGATGCCAGCTCTGCCCGGTCCCAGCAGGGTGCGCTCGAGGAAGCCTTTGCCAGCTGGCTCCGTTTTCTTCATAAAAATACACTGAGGGAAAGGAATTTAAGACCAGCATTTTTGCATCTCCCCAGGCTCACGTCGAAATAAAATGAGATGTAATAATAGCTGTATTGTCACTTGAATGCAAGTAACAGTTTGGGGGGCATTTTTCGTACCTTCGTTTTGAAACACAGTGTATCAGGTTAATGCGACTCCAGGTGTGTCTGGAGGAGGCTGAAATAGAGAGGAAGTAATAATCAACCGTCCCACCACGGAACCCAAATCTGAATTTGTTAACTCCCCGGTTTGCGGTCCGTGGACCCGTGGTCACCGGAGCAGCTCGATACAACACACACGCTGCCGGACCCCCATGTCCAAACTTTCCGGCTGAGCGGATCTTCGGTGGGGCCTGACCGTCTGTACGTCTCACAAGTTCCCAGGTGATGCCGGTCTGCTGGTTCCGGGGACCCCACTTTGAGAACCGGTGCTGTAGCTGCCCCAACTGAGGTCTCGTCATGGTTTACTTTGAGCTCATGTCACTCTTCGACGGTGTGGTTTCTTCCGCACAGCCAGCGTGGATACCCTGTGAGACCCGACACACCTCTTTTTCCCCCGGCTACATTTTTTAGAAAATATTTATTCAGCAAGCGGTTCCTGAACCATACCACAAAGCTCTGTCGTAGGCTAGGCCCACCTGACGTTTCAAGACCCATCCGTTCACAGGCTTTCTGTGAAGATCCTTTTCGTGTAGCCGTGACCCACACGGGCCCAGATGCCAGAGATCAAAGGCCACCAGACAGTGGTAGTTCCCAGTTAGGCATTGAAGACAAGTCTGATTCGCATTCAAGTCTCTGCAAGCTAATACTTCTTCGGGTCTAAGAACATAATTAAGGATGTTATTGTAATTCTGTAGCAAGAGGCAAAGCCTGGAACGACCTAGAAGGACATCACTGACTAGTGAAGTCCACTCGAGGGGGAGATGTTCCACTGGCTTCTTAGGGTTATGGTAAGAACTGGGGAGCGACTGGTGTGAAATGATCTTCCCCATGGGTATTGGTGTTGCCGCTACATGCATGTGTCCTAGGGTTTCTGGAACAGCCCCTTTCAGTTGTGAAAGGACTTTGGAATGGACTAGTGTCTTCTAAAGGGTGCGACCCATGATCATTTCGTTTTCTTGATCTGCAGATTGCCATCCACAGTGCCTGTTGAGAAAATACCTCATGACCTTTGTTTATTCTCTCCCTTGGACACCACAGGTAAGTGAGCCCCTTTGCGGCTGTCTGACCCTTCCCAGTCTGTGAGGGGGACATTCACGTATTTTCCAGGTCAATATAAGAATGCCTCAACTCTGGGTTCTTTTTCCTTGTCTCCATTGCTACTTATTCGCATACAGCTACTTTAAAACATTTTTCTTTTATTTTCTGATTTTTCTTTAATGTTTATTTTTGAGAGAGAGACACACACACAGAGCGTGAGTGGGGGAGGGGCAGAGAGAGTGAGGGAGACACAGAATCCGAAGCAGGTTCCAGGCTCCGAGCTGTCAGCACGGAGCCCGACGCAGGGCTCGAACTCACAAACTGTGAGATCGTGATCCGAGCCGAAGTCGGGTGCATAACTGACCGAGCCCCCCAGACGCACCTTTAAAAAACAATTTCTAAACCAAATTCTCTGTGCCTCTTCTGTTTCTTGGTCAGTAGCTCTAGATAATTCTTTTGGTCCGCAGGAGAAGAGTCCAAGTGCTACTTGGAAATGAGGAGCCAGTTAAAGTTGTATGCTGTGAGTGGTCACGTGGAAAGAAAAAGCGTTGAAAATATCCTCAGCACGCACTCCTGCTTTTGACATTTTATGCCATCCCACCTGCATTTTCTACTAGCGGTTAATACTTAAGTCCCCGTGGGCTCTTGAGTTGTTCCTTAAAACCCTCTGTGTTCGAAACCTGAGCACGAATAGTATGTGCCTTTTAACGTGTAAAGTCCTACATCCTCTAAATAACCTTTGAAAACACACATGGGAATTCCCCCTTGACAAACAAAGCTGATTATAGACATGTTTGTACATTGAATAATATATCTGATTAAGAATCCTGTTTTGTATCCAGAACGAAACCCACTCTGAGTTCTTCCAGGATTAAAAGCTATACGCCGTGGAGGAACCCTATCCGTCCAGGGTGTCGTGAGGAGAGCATTTTTATGAGTAGACTCACTAAAACTTTTTTTCTCGAGGTCTGGGTAGGGTAATCCTACCAAGAAACTTCCACGTGTGTGCAGCTGTGGGCATAATTTTCTTTGGTCTAATTTTGTTGTATAGAATTCAAACTTCAGAATGGTTTTAAAATGTCAGCTCTTCCTTCAGCGTCTGTAATTGTTATTTTACTCCTTTTGTCTTTTACTCACAAAAATAACACTTCGTGCTTTTTCCCTGTTCGTTCTTAGTTGAAGTCCTGTTAGGACAGACCTTCCTGGACCATTCAGTTACCATCCCAAACTCAGAACCGTTGTTAGGCAGAAATACCACTGTTAGCATGGTTTAGCATGGAGTGGTGTGGGGGAGGGCGCGTCTTGGCTGACAGCGAACCCCCTTTCTGTGTTTCCAGACATCAGGAGGCTGTAGGGTAATACCTTACTGTGTAGTTACTCCACTTTTCCCCGTGGCCCTTGGAGACACAACTAGACCAACAACTTGGCTAAGTCAAAAGCATAATGAAGGAAATGCAGATTTAATCCTCTGGGAGGTACATTTCACATCCATCCGAGTGGCAGAATGAGGCAGCCATACCTAGTGTGGGCTTGGACGTGGGACTGAGGCAGCCATACCTAGTGTGGGCTTGGACGTGGGACTGAGGCAGCCATACCTAGCGTGGGCTTGGACGTGGGACTGAGGCAGCCATACCTAGTGTGGGCTTGGACGTGGGACAGCAGGAACTCCTACACAGCGCTGAGAGGAGTGTAAGTTGGGATAGTCCGCGTGGAGATCGATTTGACCATGTGTAATAAAACGGAAGACTGCAGACCCCAGGGCCGAACAGTTCCCCTCCTTGTTACGTACTTGGAAAATTCTCTTGCCCATAAGCAGGAGCAGATTTTCACAGCCGTGTTCACTGAAGCCCTGTCGGTAATACCGAGAGAGTGGAAATGATTCAACGTCCATCAGTAAGAGAATGGAAAACTCGCTTGTGCTGTATTGATGTAATGGAGTCACGCACAGAAGTGGAAAATGGATGAACCTTCTGGATAAACGTTTACCAACTTGGATGGATCTTAGAACCTTCACATTAAACAAACCAAATGCTGCAGAAAACCACTTAGGGAATACAGTAAAACCTTGGATTGCGAGTGACGGGCAAGACGAGCCAAGATTTCTAATAAATTTTAACTTGATAAACGAGTGATGTCTTGCCGTACGAGTCGTATGTGATGCCGAACGTCACGTGATCACAACTGAGCCAGTGGTTCTTGAAATTCGTTTTGATACACAAGTGCTTTGGATTACAAGCATGTTTCCAGAACGAATTATGTTCGCAAACAAGATTTTGCTGCATTTTAAAAATATCCGAAATGCGATCCATTGTGTGTTGACACACAAACACCCGTATGTGTGGTAAAGTTTATAGACGTGCATGGGAATGACAAACACCAGACTCGGGGAAGGGGAGCACAAGGTTTGGGGGGGGGGGGCGGTTCTGGGGTGGAAAGCCCAGGGGAACTTAGCTGTGTAGCCGGTATTGTTTTTTTCTTAGCTGCCTAGTGATACGTTAGTTGTCACTGTGTTGGTTGTAGCACCTTTTGCTGTGTCTCGAATCCTGCATAATACACAGAAAAGTTCACGTATGTGGTAGAAAAAAAATAACCAGAACTTCCAAGCTGGTGTGGGTATAAAACATTCCAATGTCAAGACGCCACGTGCCTCTGGTAATTTTGATAACTAAGTGGAGGAAGCCGGTTTTTTGTTGGATCCTAAGGCATCCGCTGTGTTTCTCTTTCCTGCAGGTACTGTTAACGGGAAATACTGCTGTCCTCAGCTTTTTATCAACCACAGGTGTTTCTCGGGCCCTTACCTGAACAAAGGGAGAATCGCAGAGCTACCTCAGTCCGTGGGACCCGGCAAATGCGTGCTGGTTCTGAAAGAGGTAAAGCGTGTTCGACAGTGGTCACAGTTGGCTTATTTCCACGGGGTGTCGAAGATGTGGGTGGACTCTCCGAAGGAGAGAACGGAAATGTGAATCCGATGAGGTGACATTTTCCAAGCCCCGGCTCTGGAGTCCTTGGGCCCAAGCTGGTCAGACAAGGACGGAGGATGGGTGAGTCAAAGACTCAACAGGCCGGCGGGAGGGATAGACCTTCCTGCCCTGAGTGCCGGGAAACGTTGCGGTGGGTTTGAATCAAGAGCTTCGGGAACTCAGGGGAGATGGGCTGTGTTGGGGGGCGGGGAGGGCCTGGGAGTGCAGACCGGAGGTTCTCTGGAGAGGTGAGTAAACCTTGGTGGAGGGAAGGAAGTGCTTTGGGGATGGACACTCCCCAGCCGAGCCGGGAGTGGTGACCTCTCTCCCCTCCCTCGGCCGTACCTAGTGGGGCGCCTGCATGTAAGAGGTGCCTGCTGAATGCACCATGGGCTCCAGGCGCTCGCGTGACGTTTGTGTCCCGGGCGGAGCCCTGGCCACGCATCATCTTGACGGTATTGTTTCCCATCTCTCTTCCTGCCTCTGGGGATCCACCTGCAGATAAAGAGGTGCGTCCTAATTACGTCGATGGAGGGTTTCCTCTCTGGTCTGTGTTTACGGCCTCACCATGGACCTGGTGCGGAGAGGGGTTGGAATTTTGGAAGCATTTCTGAGCCGTTCTTGGAACGCCGTCTCTGCTTTTTTCGTGCATATCAGTGCTTCGTCTTAAGAAAGAGGACCCCACACTTATCTTCTTTATTGCTACTGTAGCACGAAGAACGTGTTTCCATCCGAGTGCGTTAGGCAGCCTCTTGGAGCCAGACACCGCACGAGGCCCTGGGGAGAACAGCAGCACTGTCTGCCCTCGGCCTGTTTGGGCTTCGTGGCCCTGACGGGGGGATGGTGTGAGTCTAGAGGTGCAGTTAAGGGGGTGCTCGGTCAAGGCGGGAGCGGAGCGCTCCGGGAGCACAGGGGAGACAGTGACAAGGAAATGCCAAGTGACACTTGATGTGGCTCGGGCAGAGTGAGTAGAGCCTCGGATGCACGGGTGGATGTTCGGGGCGGCGTCCAGGAAAGGCATGTGGTCCCGCGTGGCGGGAGCGTGGACCCTCAGGCTGGGGACAACCCGTAGGTGTACAAGAGGACGTCCCATTTTGAAAACGAAAGAGAGAAATCTGGCGGGCCTGAAGCGTGAGGCGGGACGGAGTAGCTGGCGGTCCGCACGTGGAGACCTCTGGTGTCCCGAGGGATGTAGACTTCCCACTCCAGAGGACAGGGACCCCCCCCCCCATCCCCCTGGGTGACACTGCCAGAGCCGGCCTCCTCACTGTGAGAACCTCCTTGTGGTTTCGGACTCCCTTCCACTTCAAGAGAACGAGCTAGTTTTCGTGGAGTCAGAGCGTGTCTGCTTCTCCAGGCCGCCTGCGGAACCAGCAGCGAGAGACTTTATACGTTTAGAAAACAAATCCATTGTAGAGGGAAGACGGAGGTTGTGGCTGAGCAGAAACGCTGTGAAGAAACTCCGATCAGGCCGCTGTCGTGGTCATTTATTCAGAAGCGTGTCACAGAGAAAATGTTCGGAAGGGGGTTCCTGCCCTTAAATGTGCTTCCGGTCAAGTGGGAGAGACAAGCGGGCGAGTGAAGACGGCGGAGTGGGGGGGCGTCTCGGGTGCCGTGACGGGGCTGGGACGGGTGCTTGGAGGTCACACAGATGTCCCCGCAGTCTGTGGGGACAGAGGAGTGGGCAGCCTGCACCCAGAAGCGCTGGGGGTGGTGCCCTGGGACGGAGGCAGGCAAGATTGGGAAAGCGGGCTTCCGGCACAGGTGTAAGGACCTCGAGGGACGGACACTGGGCACAGACGTGTATCGAGAGTCCCCGTGGGCCCTGCTGTCCTCAGCAGTTTGGACCCGCTTTCGTGGGAAGCCTCCCCCCTCCAGCAGGCAGGTGCTGCGTCCCGAGAGAGACCGGTGCAGGTGGGGTCCAGCCTGCCTGGCAGGTGGGCCTGTCTCACAGATGAGACGTTTGTCGCTACAGAAAGACGGTGCTGAGGCGGAGGGGACGCCCCTGAAAGGCCGTGGCGGTGCATAAACGGAAGGACCGCCGGTCAGCCGTGTGTCAGGTGGCACTGACCTCGGATCCCTGCAGATGCTGGACTGGATCGAAGGAGACACCGAAGCGGGATTCCGTGTCAGGATCTCTGTCACGATGCGAATCACACGCTTGGACCGAGCATTGACCCTCTGCCGTCCAGCCCGTGACGGGGTGTTGGTACGGTGGGGCCCGCCTGTGTCTGGGCCTGTTATTTTCAGGACGGATCAGAAAGGAACAGGGAGGCCGGCAAAAGTAACAGAGACCCGGCGGGAGCCTTTGAAGCTGCCGGCAAAACCGTTTGTCACGGAACGTTCCCGCGATGAACACGAGGTCCCAGCTCGCCTGCCGGCTCCGTTAGCAGACGCGGTGGCCTCCTCGGGGGGCTGGCCGTTTGTCCCGCACGAGGTTGTGGAGTCCACGGCGGTTCCCCCTGATCAGTTCTGCGACAGGTGCCAGCAGCCAAACGTGAAAGCTGGGCCGAGCAGTTTTCTGATGACGGAACCAGTTGTTCGCTGATGTTCAGAAACTGCATGAGTCAGGAAGAGAAGAAGAAGGGGGAAAAGCCAGCTCTTCAGTTCTGTGAGCTCCAGACAAATTGTCAAGTTCCAGCAAGCCAATATTCATGCTGATGCGCTTCCTTCTAGCACCAGAACCTCCGTGGTTTCAGATTCCGTTTTACTTAAAGAGAATGAGGTCACTGGAGCAGAGACGGAGCGCGTTTGCTTTCCGGGCCATCGGCGGTGTGAGCGGTCGCAGGCGTTTTCGTCTTTGGGAAATGGCCGGGCCGTGGCCGTTCTCCTCGTCCACGCTGCTCAGAGAGAGCAGACGCGTGCGGGTGTGGACGCAGCGGCCGTGGACGTGGCACGAGGCAGCTCCCGGAGCACGGACCACCAGAGGGGGGAGGGTCGGCGCCTGTCCGCTCACCTCCTGGGCAGGGAGCCTCCCGCACATCAGACTCGAGTGAGGCTTTGAGGACTCAGAGCAGACCCCGGCCTCGATTCTAGAAAGGCGGCAGCAGAGTGGATAGCTGACCTCCGAGAAGCTGGAGCCACAGCCGGTGAGCGGCCCAGCCAGGTCCGTCCTCCCCACGAGGGACCCAGGAGAGCAGCTCTTGCAGGGAGGGAATGGGTCGAGCCTGTGGATGGCCCCTCAGCCTGGGCCATCTTGTGGGAGCCCTGGGCCCAGACCCGTGGGGGTGGGACCTATAAGTACGAGCCCCCCCGGGGGGCTGTGTTTGTCATAAATCAAACCTTCATGCTCAGTGTGCTCGTTGTCACCCAGGGTCGTCCTTTCCTGTCCCGGATGCTTCCTCCCCCACGCCTGCCGAAGTACCCCAGGGTGTCCCCAAGACCTGTCCGCTGCAGGTCTGTGTGCCCTCGGTCGGTTTACGAGGTTGTGCGTCACCATGCTCCCGCTCCTCCGAGCATGCTGCAAAGGTGCTGGGGAAAGTTCTGCTTACTCCTTCTTTAAGTGCAGTCTCCTTCCTGAGTGGCCAGGCCTGTGCAGGGCAGTGTAGTAAGGGGGGGGTGCTGTGTGCTTGTGTCCGTGTGTGAAGGAGAGCCCGCACGAGCACACGAGGAGGAGGAGAGAGGGCCACCTGGTGCATTTACTCGTGTCCGTGTGTCCAGCGATGACAAGCACGGCTTCTGAAACGGACAAGTGATGACACGGGACGACACCAACCAGGCCCTGCCGGCAGAAGTGACTCTGAGAACACCAGCTCACAAGTTAGATTTTCTTGCTTCTTTGGTGACTGTCACATGCACAGGTGTAGAGGTGCCATCCCAGGGTGGCTTACAGACATTTCGGGAGCACGTGTGGTTTTCTGAAACGTTATTTGGCTTAAATTACTTGCCCACATGTAACCTCTGTTTTTAGCAATAAAGGATAGAAACGTCCGTCCAGTGGGGAATCTCTAGGAACCTCTTTTTATGTTTTCCACATAACTTTGGGATGTGTGTTGGCTCAGCAACATAAAAACACTTCACGTGCCGCGTTTTGGCAGTGTGCGTGCGTTCAGTCCTTTAGTGAACATGTAGGGACGCTTGGGGGACTCAGTTAAGTGTCTGACTTGGGCTCAGGTCATGATCTCACGGTTTGTGGGTCTGAGCCCCACGTCAGGC